GGGGGGCAATTGAATTTCAGCATTTTTATGACCATTTAAAGTGCATAAAGTAGCAAAGTAAAACCATATTTCTCATATACTGAAAAATTTTACTTTAAATTGTCAGTCTGTATGAAGGAAGAAAAAATATTTGAAGTTTTTATTATTGTATTAAAGGGGAATATTTTACTCCTCAAAAGGGGAAAATAAAATCTTCAGAGAAAATTTTCTCTAGGGGAAAAACACAGAATATCGGTAGTAAATATGCCCTAGATTAATCCCTGATATGCTATACACCTAAAAGTCATTATAAACATACACTTTTACAGGTGATGGAACCGGGGGAGAGTCCATATATGGAGGGATGTTCCCAGGTAAGTTAACAGGGTTTATATTTAGAAAAAGTGTAAAATTCTATATCCTGGTCAGACAAAGGTAATAATAGTGGGAATGCGAGGGTATAAGAAATATGTAGATATCACCAAATTTGTCTACCTCATGTTCTGTTAGGATGATAAGTTAACTAAAGGACCAAGTCTGAGATTGAATTTCAATGTGAAAATTGCTCAGAATCCTGGTTTTTACATTGAAAAGTAACGTCATTAATTTATTTCTATTTCACAATTATAATTTAAAATTGTGGATTATGGTATTATCCTCTGCAGTAACATAATCTTTTATTCCTTTTGAAATCTTTTCTAATTTTTTCTTAGAATTGTTGTTGTGTGATGTGTTGTATTTGTATTGTTTCATCTTGTATATTATTAGTAACATTTAGTTTCTTGAACATTCCAGAGTGGTCAACATGTTCGGTCATTTGATCTAGAACATTCTTAAATTTTGTGTATGTCCAGATTGTTCCAGTAATATCATGTTTTAACACTTTCTAGAATATTCTTGATTTATAATACTGTATAAATACCCTGTCAATTCGATGCATAGATATACTTTGTCGTATAAGCACTATTGAGATATAACTGGGATATATTTTCACTGGGACATTGTGTGCAGCAACGGACACTCTGATGTATGTATTTTTAGATTTTTGCTAAGTTTGTACTTAATGATTAGTATATTACTGTAAATAAATTATTGTTAAGTTTAAACTGTGTGATTGATCTTTGCTGGCATTTAGGGTTATTCTCACCCATAACAGAATTGGGGGCTCGTTCGGGATCAAGAATTTCTTGCACTTTTGCAGTTCATTGTCAGAATTTTGTTAATTAAATTGTTAAATTTGACTATAAGCCAGCAAAAATCAACATGGTATTTTCGGTCACAGACTTTCTTAGTTCACCAAGTGTTCAGGTTTTCGATACGTTAAAAAAGGATGACTTGATTGCATTAGGTTTGCATTTTGGGTTAGATGTTAAATCCTCTCAGAAAAAGCAAGACATTAGAATTAAGGTTGCAAACAAACTAGTAGATGAAAACATCTTTGAAAAATACGATCTTCCAGAATATACAGTTAGATCAGAGTTAGGCTCTTATAAAATGGCAGACTATCAGTTTCAATTAGAGTTAGAGAAAATGCGATTAGAAAGAGAAAAATTAGAAAGAGAAGAGCGAGAAAGAGATAGAGAAAGAGAAAGAGAAGAACGAGAGCGTGAACGGAAATTTGAATTAGACAAATTAGAAAGACAAGAGCACTTTGAGTTAGAGAAATTAAGATTACAGCATAAACCAGAACCCTCATTTGTCAAGAATGAATTTGATGCAGCAAAAAATATTAGGTTAGTTCCGAAATTTCAAGAAAAATCTGTAGACAAGTATTTTCCCCAATTCGAAAAAGTCGCAGAAAATCTTAAATGGCCACAACACGTTTGGTCAACAATGTTACAAAGTGTACTGGTTGGCAAAGCAGCTGAGATATACTCTGCACTAGGGGTAGCTGAAAGTTCAGACTATGAGAAGGTCAAAGCAGCAATATTAAAAGCATATGAATTAGTACCTGAAGCGTATAGACAAAAGTTCAGAAAGTATAGAAAGTTTGATAATCAAACATTTGTTGAATTTTCACGAGAGAAAGAAGATTTATTCGATCACTGGTTTAGATCTAAGAAACTTGATAAAACTTTTGCTAATTTGCGCCAAGTCATCCTGGTAGAAGAGTTTAAGGAATGTGTTACTCAAGATTTGAAAACACATCTAGAAGATAAGAATGTTAAAACTCTTGAAGAGGCAGCAGTCATATCTGATACTTATGCTCTGTCTCATAAAAAGAATTTTGTATCAAGATCTCAGACTAGCAGTAATTCTACAAATTCAGACACATATAAAAAGAGTGGTTCAGGGTCTCAGTCTTTCACAAGTTCCCAGTCTCCATCCCAAGGTGGTTCTAAGTCCGGTCCAGGACGTTTTGAAGGATCTTCTGGAATAGGGTCGCTTCCTACTTGTAGTTATTGTAAGAAAAAGGGTCATCTGATCAGTGAATGCTTTAAACTTAAGAGAAAAATTGATTTTGATAAAACTCAACCACATGCTTGTGCGGCAGTTAGAGGTGATAGAGAAGCCTTAGTTTCGATTTGTTCTGACACTCCTGATGTCCAGGGTTCACAGTCCAGTTCTATTGATTCTATGGAGGATTATAAGCCCTTTATGTCTCAGGGATTTGTTTCACTCGGTGACTCTAGCGAAATAAAACCTGTCCAGATTTTGAGAGATACTGGTGTTGCACAGACGTTATTGTTAGAGGGCGTGCTTCCTTTGTCTGAGCAGACTTCTACTGGTGGGTCAGTTTTATTACAGGGTGTGGAGCTAGGCGTCATTGATGTTCCCCTGCATAGAATTAGTTTGAAGTCAGATTTAGTTACTGGACCTGTTATCGTAGGTGTTCGACCTACTCTTCCCGTTCCAGGCATTTCTTTGTTGCTAGGCAACGATTTAGCTGGTGGAAAAGTTGTACCAGATCCTATAGTTTGTGAGAAAATCACTCCAGATGTCATGTGCGATGATGAAGATGATGACATTTATCCAGCCTGTGCTGTTACTAGAGCGATGGCCAGAAGACGAGAAATGGAGGCAGACCATACTCAAGCCTTTGACGAGACGAATTCCTCTGTTGATATTGATTTGAATGACACTTTCTTATCTGACCTTGATGGCACTCAAACAAGCATGGAACCACACAATATCAAGAAGCAAAAGAAGAAAGAACTTTTACCAAAATTTGGTGGTGAGGATGATGAGTTTCATCCACTAGTTAGCCAAGGCAAGGACATCCTCAGCCGAGAACGTTTACTCTCTGAACAACATAAAGACCCAGATATCATTCAACTTAGTAAGAGGGCACTTCCACCAGAAGAGGCTACTAAAGTTGGAGAATGCTTCTATATGAAAGATGGCATCCTTATGCGAAAATGGCGACCACCTGACGCTTCTCCAGGTGAAGTGTGGCGTGTTGTTCACCAGATAGTGGTCCCAGCTGCTTATCGTCGAGATGTCATGAGTTTAGCTCACGATACACCTATGGCAGGTCATTTAGGTATCAATAAGACTTATAATAGGATTTTGAGTCATTTTTATTGGCCTAAGCTAAGAAAGGATGTTTCGAAGTTTTGCAAGTCATGCCATGTCTGTCAGATGGTAGGTAAACCAAATCAGAAGATACCATCTGCTCCTCTCCAACCCATTCCAGCTTTTGAAGAACCATTTAGTCGAGTGTTGGTGGATTGTGTAGGACCTTTGCCTAGGACTAGGTCAGGAAACCAGTATTTACTTACCATTATGTGTACATCCACTCGATTTCCTGAAGCCATACCTCTAAGGAATATAAAGGCAAAGAGCATAGTTAAGGCCCTAACCAAGTTTTTCAGTTTTGTAGGAGCACCCAAGGCAATTCAGTCGGATCAAGGCTCAAATTTTATGTCGGGGTTGTTCCAGCAAGTCATGTATGAGTTGGGTATAAGGCAATATAGATCAACTGCTTATCATCCTGAGTCCCAGGGAGCGCTAGAACGTTTTCATCAAACCCTAAAAACAATGCTGAAGACCTATTGTTACCAGTATGAGAAAGACTGGGATGAAGGGGTTCATCTTGTGCTATTTGCTGCACGAGAAGCAGTCCAGGAGTCTCTTGGGTTCAGTCCTTTTGAATTGGTGTTCGGTCATACAGTTAGAGGTCCTTTGAAATTGTTGAAGGAAAAGTGGCTGACTGAGACTAGTGATCTTAATCTTTTAGATTATGTGTCTGATTTCAAAGAAAAACTTTACAATGCTTGTAAATTAGCACAAGAAAATTAGAAGAGTTCTCAGATGAAAATGAAAATGTGGTATGACAAAGATGCCAGAAATAGGGTGTTTAAGCCAGGTGATAAGGTTCTTGTATTTTTACCTATTCCTGGTCATCCTTTACAGGCCAGATTTTATGGCCCTTATGAAATTGAAAGCAAGATCAGTGATGTAAACTATGTAGTTAAGACACCAGGTCGACGTAAAGAGAAACGGGTTTGTCACATTAACATGTTAAAAGAGTATTTTGAAAGGTGTGACCGAAATTCTGTAAAACCAGTTTCCACTTTAGCCAATGCTAAGACTGTTCAAAATTGTATTGAAAGTGATACGAGTGTAGAAATGAATGAGAAAGATTGTAATCAGAGTGTCTGTTGAAAAACTCAGAAGTTTTGGCTAATTTGGATGCTAAACTTGGACATTTGAACATTCACCAAAAAGAACAAGTTAAAAACTTGACGAGTGAGTATCATCAAATCTTTTCGGATGTTCCAAAGAAAACTAATGCAACTTATCATGATGTCATAGTGGGTGACGCTCTGCCTATCAAACAACATCCGTACCGTCTTAATCCAATAAAATTGCAGTACCTAAGAAGGGAAGTGCAGTACATGTTGGACAATGACATTGTTGAACCTAGTAAAAGTGATTGGAGCTCACTGTGTATTCTTGTACCAAAACAGGACGGTTCGTACCGATTATGTACAGACTTTAGAAAGGTGAATTCTGTTACCAAAACCGATTCATATCCAATACCTAGAATCGATGACTGTATTGACAACATTGGAAACGCGAAATTTGTCAGTAAATTTGACTTGTTGAAAGGCTACTGGCAAGTACCGTTAACAGAAAGAGCAAAAGAAATATCTGCTTTTGCTACACCAGATGGACTTTACCAGTATAAAGTAATGCCTTTTGGCATGAAAAACGCACCGGCTACATTCCAAAGGATGATTCACTCCCTTCTTCAAAACCTCGAGGGTTGCGAGGCCTACATTGATGATGTCATCATATACAGCAACACATGGGACGAACATATCCGAATCATGCGTGCTTTATTTGACATTTTAGCTAAAGCAAACTTAACTGTGAACCTTGAGAAGAGCGAATTTTGTCATGCTTATGTAGAGTATTTAGGTCATAAAGTAGGTCAAGGTTATGTTACACCAATTATGGCTAAAGTGGAAGCTATTTCAAAGTTCCCGATTCCCACAAACAAGAAAGAATTAATGAGGTTTTTGGGCATGGCTGGGTTTTACAGAAAATTTTGTCCAAATTTTTCCTCAGTAGTTAGTCCACTTACAAATCTTTTACAAAAGAGGGTTAACTTTGAATGGACAGAGGACTGTGAAAAATCCTTTCATAAAATCAAATCTGTCCTTATGAGCAACCCAGTTCTGTCAACTCCAGATTTTTCTAAGCAATTTAAGCTTACTGTTGACGCTAGTGATGTTGGAATCGGGGCAGCTTTGTTTCAAGAACATAGTGATAAGGTAGATAGAGTTGTTTCTTATTTTTCAAAGAAACTTACAAAATGTCAACAAAAGTATTCCACCATTGAAAAGGAATGCCTTGCTTTGTTGTTAGCCTTACAGCATTTTGATGTTTATCTGAATGTTACTTTGCATCCAATTCTTGTATATACGGATCACAACCCCCTGACATTTTTGCATAAATTGTCAAACAAGAATCAAAGACTGACTAGATGGAGTTTGTTGTTACAAGAATACAACTTAACAATTAAGCATATCAAAGGCAAAGACAATGTTATTGCAGACGCCTTGTCAAGAGTATCGTAAACATACTAGATTTTGTATTAATGTACCTATGTTTTAATAATATAAGTTTTCATTGACATTCAAACTTTTTAAGGGGGGAGGTGTTGTGTGATGTGTTGTATTTGTATTGTTTCATCTTGTATATTATTAGTAACATTTAGTTTCTTGAACATTCCAGAGTGGTCAACATGTTCGGTCATTTGATCTAGAACATTCTTAAATTTTGTGTATGTCCAGATTGTTCCAGTAATATCATGTTTTAACACTTTCTAGAATATTCTTGATTTATAATACTGTATAAATACCCTGTCAATTCGATGCATAGATATACTTTGTCGTATAAGCACTATTGAGATATAACTGGGATATATTTTCACTGGGACATTGTGTGCAGCAACGGACACTCTGATGTATGTATTTTTAGATTTTTGCTAAGTTTGTACTTAATGATTTGTATATTACTGTAAATAAATTATTGTTAAGTTTAAACTGTGTGATTGATCTTTGCTGGCATTTAGGGTTATTCTGACCCATAACATTGTCTATTTTATGTTTTCTTAGATGAGAATTTTGTGTTGAAACATGACAAAGAATTCCTTCTGTCCATGGCAAATCGTGGTAAAGACACAAATGGCTCCCAATTTTTTATGTAAGTATTATATTATAACAGTGGTATTGAAATCATAAAAATTATTCTTTTTTGCTCTTTATACTTTGTTTAAGATAATAACAATAATCCTGTTATTATAAAGATGTATAAATTAAAAATAAGTATTCTTTAAGCGGTATACAAAGCATCTGTGATAGTTTAAAGAAACATGCATATGTACAACAATTTAGTTAGTTTTTTGTCTAATCCGTGGTTATTTTTTTCTTCCTTGGGATTTGACAATTTGCATTTTCTTTTTAGAACAACGAAACCTGCACCACATCTTGATAAGTAAGTTTGTATTCCTTTTTTAAGGAAATTTTAGTATTATTCAGTTTTTAAAACTACACTTGAAATGCTTCGTATTGTTAATGCATAAATGATGAAGCTAGTACAAAATCATCATTTGTTTTATATCAAGGATTAATTTGATAATCTAATTGATATTTATGATTTTAGCAAGCATACAGTCTTTGGACATGTGATCTTTGGTCAAGAGGTGGTCACAAAGATAGAGAACTTAGAGACGGATGAAAAAAGTCGTCCAAAAGTGGATGTGAAAATTGCCAACTGTGGAGAATTAGTTCTTCAAGTAAAAGCCAAAGGTACATACTAGAGTTTGATTTAGCGCTTGATTGCTGAAATTTTCAAAAGGTATCTATGAATAACACAATTATTCATAAATATTAAGCTGTGAAGAACTATTCATGAATAAATTAGTTTTGTGAAGAAAAAGACAGTTATACTGCCCTCCTTGTATCTGCATTTTTCTATTTTCATCACTAATAACAAAAATGATACTTTACATATCTCTGCCAATATGCATTGCATAATTATGCTGGTAAGATTTTTATGGTTAATATTTGCACAAATTTCTAAAAGTACAGTATATTAATAAATGTGCTTTATTATTTATTGATAATGTGCTTAAACAGAATTTCAAAATTTAAATTACATATAACCAACTGAAAATAGCAATAAAATATGTGTGTCATTTTGAGGTCAGGAGTAAAATTTCTTATCATGATCTTTTACAGAAAAAAAAATTAAAAAGAATGTTTTCCTATTTTATTAAAAAAAAATATCATAATTAATGAAATGGTTTACAATCATGTACATTGTACAAATAAGCAAAGTCAGTACATTGGGTATTATTTACCCCTTAAATGTTACTCTATATTTCCTCATTCCATTATCAGATTAAACTTGGGTATTGAGGGCGTATGATTATGGCTTCATAGTATTCCCTTTTACTGATACCTTTTTTCTCGATGACTCTAGCTAAAAAGAGAAAGAAACACTCGGAGTCGGAAGCCAAGAGTTCTGGTGATTCAGATGAGTCATCTTCAGAAATGGAGAAAACGAAAAAGAAAAAGAAGAAACACAAAAAAGAATCCAAAAAGAAGAAGCACAAGAAAAGAAAAAAAGAGGAGGAAAGGTACACAAAGACATTTTATCCTTTTCAAGTTTTTAATTTACAACTACAGTGAATCTAACTCAGACCTTGTGTCTCGAATTTTTTTTTTCATCTCATAATTATGCAGCATCAAGCAAATACAGAAAATCCATGTTCTTGATTAGAATTAAATCTTTTTCATTGGTAAAAGTAATGTTTAAAATGACTTTGAAACTGCTTTATATTTATAAATTCAGTGCTGAACATTTGGATATTTTTTTCTGCAAATGAAAATGTAAGTGTATCCTTATGAAGTGGGTTTGAGGCTTTCAAATTAGTACAATTCTCTATTAAATATTGATGTTCACCTGATATTCCTAGTAAAGTTCAACTGTATATTCATTGTGAATTTTCACATAGATAAACTGATTAAGATTGTAATGTTGTTTCTGGTATTTAGTGCAAAGAATGAGCAGAAGGAAGAGGAAATCACCACAGTGTTCGCTCAGATTCGTCCGGATGAAATTCCCGACATTCCTCAGCAGAAGTTCTTAAGCAGGGTCAACAAAGAGGAGGAAATGGAAAAGTATTCAAACATCTATCTATCATTGCTACTAAAATTGGAGTACATTTGTACTTCTAAACATTCAAATTATGAACTGTAAAAGATGAATTCAGTTTAATTGTATATTTAAAAAAAAAATCATAGACCACTTGAAGAAGTGAAAAATCAGATTTTTACGAAATTTAGAGATAACAATTTTAATTATTTTGAAATGCTTTTTGCTTAATTTTTGTGTTATTTTTTGTTTTAGTTTTTGTGATGGTACTTTATATGATTCATGTTTATTGACTACAGAGAGAAGTCTCCCCCAGGCTATGGCAACCGACGGAGAATTGATAGGATTCCCTATGGAAACAAGCCCAAATTTACAGCCAGTGGGAGAAAAATTAAAGGCCGCGGCACATTGGTTAGTCTCTGAATTAAAAAGTTTTTATCTTCCCCATCAGCCTCAAAAGGACTGTAAAATACTTTTTTTTGCAGAAACCTCATTTATTTGGTAATTTTGAAAGACTGTTTTTCACGTAAATTTAATTTTCATGTATACATGTATTTGTAAAACAAAGATAATTTAGAACCATAACCAGAGTTTGTGAAAATTATGTCTAGCTTGTTAATGCCAAATGGCGATGTCGTGAAATGAAAGTGTCACAAAAATTCGGTGATCTACAGTACTGTTACAAATTTTTTTTTTAAAGTTTGCAAAGAAAGTACATGTGTATAAAATAACATTATAGAGTTTCAAGTTATGTGACTCCAGAATTTTTGGGGAAGTTGGAAACGTACCAAAGGAGACTGATTTTAGTATATGTATGAATCTAAGTAAAGCATTTATTATCATCGATAATTACAGAGATATAGAAGTAGGAGTAGAAGTGAGACACCACCTCACTGGAGGCAAGCCGTGGAAACTCGACTACGATCTAACCAGCAACAACAACAGCAGCAGCCGCCTTACCCAGGGGAGGATCAAGGGAGAGAAGAGAGGTGGGCGAGGGGGGACAGAATGACTGACCGGAGGGACAGGCAACCAATGAGGGAGAGACACATACAGGAGAACAACCAAGAGTCAAGGAGGAGGAGGTTAAACATTTATCTATAATGGTTAAAAGGTTTTAAGGTTTGGTTAAAGGAGGATTCGGACTTTTGAAATTTCGGAAGCATTTTATTTTGGAACT